GACCCCCCCAGTGAATTGCTCAGGGTGCCAACACAGGGACACCCATCCTGCCCATCTGCCTGCTGCAGCCTGACTCAGCCCCCATGTCCCCAAACCTTCATAGGTACCCACCAGCCCCCTCCAGCCATGGCAGCCTCGGGGGCTCACGGGCAGCACAAGATGGGGATGAAGAAAGGGGAAGACCTGGCAGCCCCCAGCCCTTTAGATACTGGCATTTCCCAGGCCTGGTGCCAGGATCCAGCCACATACACCCAGGCTTTGCCGCCAAAGTCGCCAAACTCCCGCGCTGCGCGGGACACACGCTGTTGCACAACCTCGGCCAACAGCTCCTTTTATTTTTAGGCTCTTGCAACACGGCTTCCCTGCAGCCCGCCCGAAACGCCGCGGAGACACCAGATGGGCCACAGAATCTGAAACACCCTGCCCTGCTCCCAGCCCCAGCAGCTCTCAGAGCAACTCTGTGCACCAGCTGTGCCTCAGTTTCCCCGTTAGTTACCTTCACCCACCAGCCCTGTGACGGCAGCGGTGGCAGCCAACCCTGCTGACCCCAAGGGCTCCCTCTCGCTGAGCCAATCACCCAGGGCTTCATTAAATCTCCCTGGTGCTCCACAGCACAATGATCCCACCTAGAAGCTGAAGATACAGGACACAGCTTGGTTCAGTGGCTGGGCGGGCGCCCTCTGCAGGAGCCACTGTCCCCAGGTGACACCATCCCCCAGACGGTGCCCAGCCCGTCCAAGGCACTGGCACAGGATTGTCCCCCGCAGTGTGGGAACTGGGGTGGGAAGAGCTGAGACAGTGTCACCACCCAGGACCTCTAGCAGGAGTTAAAGGACAGACAGACCCTTTAAACCTACCAGTGAACATGAGCACAGACCCCAGCTGGTCATCGGTGCCGGGCGAGATGGCAGCTGTGCCATGGGTCCCTGGTGCCGGCTGGCTCCTGGTGCAGAGCCCCAGCCCAGCCACCCCAACATCCCTCCCTGGCCCCCCGCAGCGCTGCCTCTTCCTTACGAGGGGAGGGCTAAAGCCAAATGCATGCCACATCTGCGGCTTCAGCCCCACTGTCCCCACGCAGCACCCTGTGGGGAGAGCAGGCGGCACATCCCACCCCAGTGAAGGGCAGCACCGCACCGATGAGAAATTTCCAGCAGGATGAGCAAATCGAAGCATTTTACAGCCAAAACACAGTAAGAAAAGGGAACCAAAAAGTGGAGGAAACAGAAGCAAGCCCAAGTCCTCGAACATCAGGGACAGACATTGGACCTGAGATCAAAGGGGCTTTGGCTGCTTTGAGCTTGGGATGGCGGCCGCAAGCGAGAGCAGCGGGGCTCGGCCAGCCCAACCTTCCTGCACGGGCAGCAAGTCGGGGCCAAGCTCCATGTGGTGCCACGCTCAATGCGGTGCCACGGAAGGGTGAAGGCTGGAGACAGTAAGCGGTGGGGATGCAGACGGTGGGATGCTGCTCATCTACCTCCCGCTGCCAGAAGTGAGGATTGGGACACCACTGGCTGCCGTGACCCCTGCACTCCTCCCAAGGGTGTCCCCAACTCCGCCTGGCACCCAGCCCTGCCGGTGGCTGGGGACAGGAGCTCACCCCAGCGCCGTGCCAAAACAGCAGCGCCCAGGTGAAGGGACACCCCTGAGGACAGGCAGCACCACAGGGACGATGCCGTGGCAGCAAGGGCACGGGTCTCTTCAGGCTCAAGCCCTCCAGCTGCGACGCTCAGCCGGGCCAGGGCACCAAGGGCTGTAATTGATGACGAGCCAAGCCATGCCAGGCCCGTACTGTTTTCTAATCCCAGTGTAATTAATGACCTTATCTTTGGCCAAAGCCATTTAGATTAAGTGGCTGGTGTGATGGGCTTGGCGGCTCTGGCTGCACAGATGGAAGAGCTGCATTTGTCTGGGGATTAGCGGAGGGCAGATGGAGTGAAGTGCCATTCCCCATCCCCAAACCTCCACACTGACAGCAGCCTGAAACCTGAGACCACAACAACTTTCTCAGCGAGCCCTGGCCGGACTGGAGAGCTACTTTGCATTGTTTGTCCCTTCTGCAGGGGGCCAGGGAGGTGGGCAGGGCCCGGAGCAACAGGAGCAGGAGCTAAAAAACATGTGCTGGCACCAAGAACTGGTGTGATCCTTGGCAGGAGCTCGACCCCAGTCCCTGCCTTGAGTCCTTCAAACAGCAGAGGTACAACAGACACCAGCTTCTGCCTTGGAGAGCAAACCATGGCAGGGATGCTGGCCCTAGCTCTACATAAATAAAAAGCCACGTCCTCAGTTGACAATCCTTACCTCTCAGAGAAAGCAAACTCATCTGCTTCTCACTGCTGGCAGGACCAGGGCACGCTGCCACCTTCCTGTGGTCCACCGGTCCAGACACAGTATGAACAAGGAATTGTGCCAGACCCCCATTCTCCTGGGACACGTGGGAGCTGCTCCCCCCAAAAACAAGGCACTGCAGCGGGTGGCACAGAGCAGGGGGAAGGCTTGGGAGACCCTGCCCAACAGTGGCTACAGCACAGCCTGTTATGAGCAGGCTCGTGAACACAACAGGCAGGCTAACAGCTATTGTGGTAGAGGAATAACATTTATCTGTGGGGATAACAAAGTTCATATTAAACCGATTAAGGATATTAAATCCATTTCTAACAGTATGGTCATCTGACTGCACTCAGGAGACAGAGCAGATAATCCCATCCCTCATTCACAGAGCTGCCCCGATGATCCAGGCTGGCCTGGGGAGATGACTCAACATGTCCACGCTGTCTATCAGACCACCACACTCAGCACATCAGCGGAAAATGGGGCTTTACACCCGGCCTCACCTGCTTCCTCACCCATCCAGGCCAGGAGACCATGGTTCCACGCCACAACCCCTTGGCCATGTGCTCCAGCACTGGGCTGAACCCGTATCCACATATGCTTGAGTCAGCGTGGATGGCAAACAAGTCTGGGCTGGAGAAGAGGTTCAGCTGGCCCTGCAGATAGACCCAGTAATACAAACAGGGCACCCAGCATTTCAAAATTGATGCCCAGCTCTGCCCACCACTGCCAGAGAAAAGACAACCCAAAATCCCAGCTCTTCCCTGCATATTCCCTTTAGTCCAAGCTCCCAAGCCAGCCCATGCCCCTATCAAACAGCCCAAGGCAGCTGCCCCACAGAGCGTTACAGAAATAATTCAGTGCTGAGGAACACAAACTGGAGGTTTAATCTAATCCCCACCAGAGCAGGCATCTCCAGAGCCTGCCATGGCAGATCCACCCACGCAGCCCTTCCCCTTGCAGGCTGAGCCCTGGGAGATGGTTCTTACCACATGGTGTATCGCAAGTGTGCTCTACCAACCCAAAACCCTACCAGGAGGGACCATCTTGATTGCATTGCCAAGGAGAATCCCAAATGCCCTGGAAAAGACCCTCCTGGTTTCACCAGAGTGGCACGCCGGGCAGAGCGGTGGTGCAGACAGGTCTCACATCCTCCAGGAACAATGCTGCTGAGACCAAGTGCCTCATGGACGTGGCACAAGGAATTTGCTGCTCAGCAACTCAGATTCAAATGCAGGGCTGGTTCCCACTGCCAAACCACAGTGTAAACCCCCGGGAATTCAGCTTTAACTAGGACAGACTCATCTGCTGCAAACTTGATGAGATCATTTCCAAGTTCCTGTTTAACAGGTGCCAGCTCCTTCTGCACCTGCTATGTGCATAGGGATCAGCCTGCCTCCATCAAGCTGAGAACATCTGCTCAGCTCCCTTGGAAGCTGCAGAAAAGGTGACTGGAAGAAGGAACCAGGCCTGGATGTCCTGCCCTGTGCCCAGAGCAAGGAACCTGGGCCAGGTGGAAACAGAGAGCAAGAAAACTGCACTTGTTAATAGGGAGGGGAGCCCACAATAATCTTGAAACTTTATTTCCATATAAAAGAAAAAAAATATCCTCTCCACAATAAAGGCAGTAAGAGATCATTCAGGGAGTTGCACTCCTGGCCAAGCTGGAGGAGTGCAGGGTATTTCTGTCTCTTGAGAACAACACGTTCACACGCCAGCAGCATCGGCTCAACCATTCCAAGGATAATGCTGCGTCTCTGGCAGGAATTAATGCTTGGCATGGGAGAATGCTCCCAGCAGCCTTGCCCTGGGGCCCAGCCCTTTCCAGGCAGGGCTGAGGAAGCATGGGAACATGGCGCGATGAGGCCACATGAAGAGGATCTGATGCGGCCTTTGGTTGCACCTGCCTCATCCCGAAAAAAATTACTCAGCTCATTCGGTTCAAGGTCTCCCAGGACTAAGTCGTTTCCTCGCCGTGCAGGTGGAAGCGTGGCTGCTCCTCTTCCCCAGCTGCTTTGCAACCTACAGCAAAGGCAAGCTGCTGTCCTCGCCCAAGCTCTCTGCGCCCCCACTGTCCCCCTCGGTCTCTGCAGCATGGCTGGCGGCCTCCAGCTTCCTTCTCTTCTTCAGATGGTGCAGGTGGGATTTGGATCGTGTGTGAGCTGGAGAAAGGGGCAAACAGAGCATTTAACTCTGGGGAACTGGAGAAGGAAACACCTGACCCAATCCCCCTGTGCAGTGCAGAGCACCCTCCCTTCCCATCCTCCCACAGAACTCATTCTCACAGAAAAGTGAACTCCCAAGCCCTGCCCTGGCCACTTCTCAGGACACTTCTAGGCCAAATTATTGGGGCTCAGAGGGGGACAACCCTTCCAAGCCCTCTCCTGACCACAGGAAGGACTGGGAGAGGGGAAAAAACCTGGCTCTGTACATGCAGAAGACTCCAGACTGTCAGGACTCAACTCTCCCAGCAAGCCTGCTCTTAACCGAGACACGACGCCAGGAGGACAGGAGAAAGAAAAGTGTTACCAAAGAGGTGGCACATTGCAGGATGCGGGTGAGGTTGTGCAACTCTCCGCCATGCCATGGAGCGCAGCCAGGATCATTTGTAAGCCTAGATGCCTGCACCACAGCATTGGGGATATCCTATACATCTACAGAGCGGATAGGGATGGAGCCGAGCATAATTATGCTTTTGCATAACTCCAGGGCAAGGCCTCCAGCTACAGGAGCACT